CTTTGCATCAGTGCCGTACTTATAAGATGAACAGTTCAAGAAAGTTACCGAAGATAGAGGAGCTTGTTAATTAGAGTCTAGGCTATAAATACTTGCAGCATTATCATCAATCTCCATCAACGGAGCTTCAAATAATTTGAAAAACTGTTTGAAGTTCAGCCATTTTTACATGGATGCTTTTTGTTTGGTTAATTTGGCTTGTTATTGTCGCAACAGAATTTAGGTCTTTTATTTCAAAACTTATCTAGCTTTATATTAACTTGCATTGTTCATAAAACTATAGTCCTACAATGTCTAAATTGCAGACAAACTATAAACTAATTCAACATAACAAAGTACTTTTTCTTTTATATGGACAATAATTGTAGTAAGTAAGTTTTAGATGATATATTAGGAAGAAAAAAAAATACAACTCAATGTGTTTTTTTTTTTTTTTTTTTTTTTTACCTCGATATTCTAATACCTTGAAATATATTTCAATTTCATACAACATGCAAAACTATATAAGATTACAAATAACTCCAAAAAAAAATTACAACCATTTTTCCCAAGAGATGTTTGGTAGGAGTAAGCTTCATTCGGTGGAAGTTGACTCCATTTGCTTGACGTAAACGTCGAGCTTATTTGGTTGAGTGCTTTACTCGAGTGTCATTTAGATGTTTAGTCGTCAACATATAACAAATGTTTTATATTGACAATACACCTAAATAACAATTGATTATCTCTAATATAAATATGTTGCTCGCGAAGTGAATTTAACCATCGACAATATAATTATATTAGAGTTTATTGTTACCATCAACTTTGCTGTTGAGTGTAGATCAACCTATTCATTTAGGGGGGAGGGAACCAATTCGGTGATTCGTGCTCTTTAAAGTGTAATTTAAACTTTAAAGATTAATTTCAAGAAATAATTTTTCAGATTATTATTTACTGTTTTTGAAGTCACTAATTACATTGAATTGATGTTTTGTTTGGGTTTAAAGCTTACTAACCTACTATATAATGTAGGTATTTTTAAAGATAGCTTTAATTTCAAGATTTCATATATAAAATAATTTTCAGATTTTTATAAAGTTTTAAACTTCTTCCCCCTTCTCTCCCACTTTATCACTGTCAACCTCTTTCTTTTTTTAACGCCCTATTTCTTTCTCCTTGCCCTATATCTCGTTCTCTCCTTTATATTCTTTTCATCCTAGCCCCCCTCTTTTTCTTTCTCTCTCTTCTTCAAGCCCCTCTTCCTCCCTCCCCCTCTTTTCTCCCATTTCCTTCCCAACCCTTCTTTTCTCACTCTCTCTCTTGGACCCTTGTTCTCTATTTCTCTCTCGACCCCTTTCCTTTCCCTGCATGCCTTCTCCTCTCCTAGCATGCCCTCTCTCTTTTTTGGCATGCTATCTCTATCTTTCATTGCTCCTTTTTCTTTATCTTGTAACCATTTTCTTTGCTGATTTCCTCTCTCTCTCTCTCTCTCATCCTTTTTCTTTATCTATCTATCTCTCCTTCCCTCTCTTGCTTTATCTCCCCTTCTTCTCTTCTCGCTCTCTTCTTCCCCCCTTTTTTGCTCTCTTATACTCCTCCTGCTTCCATCCCCCCTCCTTTGTCTATCTGTCTCTAAAGCTATATATCACTATGGTCTTACAAACATTAAAAAAAAAATCTCATGAATCTAGCACGATTTTGTCATTGTGTATAAAATTGTGCTGAAATTTTTGTTGTAAAGGTACTATTAATTAGTTGACTTTCTCATAATTGTCACAAAACATGTTGGTTAATCAATAACATTTATTGATTATTAAAGTAAGCTTATCCAAATCTAATCTTAGAAATTCTCCCTTCTGTTTACTATGTTTCACCTTCCCTTAGCTTTCTCTTTCTTTCACTCGTCTTTTACGATTTTGAGCACATTAAAAAGTTTCTAAAAAGTATTATCATTTGATTACTAAATTTATAAAGCATTCTCTCTCTCTCTCTCTCTCTCTCTCTTTCTCTCTCTCTCCCTCCCTCTCTCTCTCTCTTCCTTTCCCGCTCTCTCAATCTATGTCTCTCTCTAACTGTAAGAAACTCAAAGACTTCATATATTAAGCATCCCTCTTAAGAACCAAATTGTTGTTAATATAAGAATCATTGAGTTATTAAGCAATTGTTAATATGTAACAATAAAGTCATTTAAATCTTATGAATGTAAGGGGATTTTCAGGACGGTACAGTGTACAAGAAAGTATAAAGGGGCGTCTGATTCGTAGATTTTACGTGTGAGTAGAGGTGGTTATTCAGTAGGGTAGCACAATGATAATAGGGTCAGGGCCAAACTTATAGGGCTTTTTAATGGTCAGGGCCCTTATTGGGTAGGTTCAATATACGGCCAAAATATTTTTCCAATTTAATTGATAAAGAAAATAAATAATGTAAAAATAAGTGTATAGATAAATTAGTATTCATATGTATTTAATAATGGCTTTGTTTAATATTTATTGTAATTAATATTTTGTAGGCCCGTCCATTATCGACCCACTATTGACCCGCGACTCGCATCGGCCCGACCCAATACTGACCCTATAAAATGTGACCCTCTTTGACCCGACCCACACCAACCCGACCCGCCTAATAACCAGGTCTATGTGTGAGGAATGAGGTTGGAATGAGTAAAACCCCTACCTAATTGTTAAGATATATGTGAATATATTTTGACAGTAATGTTTGTTTAAGAAAAATCTAAATTTTAAATTATACCTCAAACCAACAAGGTAGGGGAGGTAAGTATTGTTCATACCACACCTTTAAATTTTTTTTTAAAACAAATAAAACCAAACACAATGTATTAAGAATCAAGTTCCAACCTCGTATCAACCTAATTTCATTCTTACTCACACCACCCTAATTTCTTTCATAATTCCAAACTTATATCATTTTGTGAACCAAGCACCCCTTAATTGAATAGCCGTTTAGAAATTATTTATACTTCCTAATTCCTATCATACCTAAATTTTTTTTAAGGAAATATTTTACCAATACATTTGTTAAAAGACTTAGAGATTATTGTTCATATATTTTTAAAGCATTATAAAAATAAATATCGCTATTAAGTCTTCAGACAAATGTACATGTATAATATAAAGTAGTACCTAAACCAGTAACTTAAGAATGAAATTGAGCTGGGGCAATGGCTAATTATTTCAAAATTCAACCTACTCGTATTATTTACAACGGTAAATAGCTAATGATTACAAAATTGACACTCATATTTAAATTATTTTGAATATGGGATAGATTTCAATCCCATTGGAAATTCTGATTTTGTTCAATGACCAAGAATTCTACATTACAATCCCCATTTCATACTCCTTGAAATCTTTCACAACGCAGCTATTTCATCCGGATTGAACTGCAACACCAGGAAATCACAAGTCGTATCAAAATATGTTGAAGTCCCATTTAATATGAAGGCATACACACGTAAGAGAATGACTTTGAACTAACTTGCACTTTCACATGGGTGGAATGAAGGCTCAAGACTTCAAAATTAATCAAATATCAATATAGATTGTATCCTTGTTTTCTTATGATTTAGTCACTCTCAAAATTTTGAATTATAAGAATGGTGATTATACAATACCAAAAATTTTCAAAGCTTTCCTGTGGAAACCAGCCTCATTACCCAAAAGATGTGAAGTACAATATAATTGCCAATTGAGCTAAATTCACGTTATATATTAAATGCATCGGTTCAGGGAAAAAAATTCAGTCTAAGTGCATAAATAAACAATACTATTTAATGGTTTTAACATTTTTAGTAATTGTAATCCTACATCCCCACCTCTCAATGAAATGGAAACCCGGCCTCTTGCATGGAAATTGAGCTGAATTCACGTTAAATATTAAATGCACCGGTTCGGGGAAAAAAATAGTCTCAGTGCATAAATAAACAATACCCAAATCCTAAAATTCAAATTCGCCAAAATAAAAACCAAAAAAATAATCATGAATAATGAACTAAACATAAACAAAGTAAGATACCTGCCAAAGAATTCAAGTATACCGAAAACTGAAGGCCTAGAGGATCAAGAAACTCACCTAATGCTGCTCTTTCTCTGGCTGTTAGCCTTTTCACTTCAGCTCCAAATCTTTTCACCTCAGTTTCCATCTTCCCTGGTTATTCTCTTCACGAACAAAGCAAAAATCATCCGAAAAAAACAATTTTTACATGAAAATAAACCAAATGGATGTTTGCCTTTTGTCATACAGAAAAAGAGAACACAACCTAAACTAAATAAATCCACTGCACGTGTCTGGCGACTTTCACGTAATTGCTCAGGTGCTCGCTAACCCAAACTCCCACAGTCCCACTGCCTACAATTTAAAGTCAAGTCCCTCTTAGGTATAGGTGGCATACAAATTTATTCTAAACTAATATTACATAATCATAGAGTATAATATATTCAACTTAATCAAGTACTTGGTATAAAACTTAGATTTGTAAGTCAATACTTTACAAAATTATAAATAAAATACTAATGAGATTTTATAACAAATTGATAATAGAGTATGAGTATCAATATTATTAGTGTCAGATCAATAATTTGAGATAAGGGGTCAATACCTTAATACATTTTATTTAAACACAAAATAGTTAAATTTTGCCAATGGTTGAGAATTACTTACTTTGTATTAGTTTGGCTGTTTAGAAATAGCATAAAAACCAAGATACTCGTAGTAGATTTTGGTGGATTAAAAAGTATATTATAAAAAATAAATTTAAAAAAAAAACTTTAAAAAAATAAAATAAAAGGCTTTAGTTGATTTAAAGTGAATAAAATGGGACTTTTAATCAAAGACAATGTATTTGGGTGAAATTAAATTTATTTAAAACATTGTTAATTATTAATGGACATGAGAAAGAGCTCTTATTTTTAAATAAAAGTTGAAAAAGGTTGCAAAAAATAAATATTTTGAACACAAAATGAGAATAAAGAAAAGCTCTATTAGAGGAGCTTCTAGTGAGGGATTGTCAAAACATTTTGAGGCTTCAAATATTGATGCATTAAGGTGATTTCATGAAAATGTGCAACCCCACAACATCTCTGAAAGAAGATTTAAATAGCCTTAGTGTTTAAACATAGAAGCCAATGAGGCTTTAACAATATATTTAATCCATGTTACTACAACACTTTAAATCAAATCAGGAGTTCAAATACCCTCAATGCGACTGTGTACTTCTAACGTGAAATGGGCATCTAATACTTCATTTGTTGGATAAAACATAGAAAATAAACTCGTGGGCATCTAATACACCACCACCAAACAATTATAGCTGAATTTGAGTAACAAAACATTTTAAAGTGAGAGTAAATTACTCTTGTGTAATTTAGCGGTAGGGCGACTATACATAAATTTGCATAAGCACAAGAATTTTAAGAGATTTCAATTTGGTCAAACCTAACTCTGCTATCATTTTCGAACCAGGACAACAAATTTCAGAGACTAAGGTAAGAAAAAAGAAGTCTATCACTAACCTCATCACTTTTAACAGCTGAGTTGAAGGGTATTTATTTGACTTCCATAAGTAGTATCAACACAACTTCAGTCCAAATTCATAAATAAACAAAACCAAATCCCAAAATTCAAATTCACCAAAATAAACACCCAAAAAATAAACATGAGAAATTGACTAAATAATCAAAGAAATATACAAGCCAAAGAACTAAAACATCGAAAGAAAGTTGGCTTTTAATGTTTGAAACAACTCTTATAAAGAACAATAACATCTTTCCTCAAAATACCCTCCAAGTTAAAATTTTAGATTGTCATTCTTTGTTACCACACATAAAAACCTTTTGTTACCACACATAAAAAACTTTAGCAGAAATGATACACCATTCTTTCAAATTTCACGGTAAGACTCCTACTTCACATAATATCCACCAATTGCCCTTACCACAAAACCATACAGTATGCAGATAAGATTACAAAAGGTGGAGCAGAGAGATGTGACTGAGAGTGACAAGACTTATGCTATTTTTATCAACTTCTCTGATATCATCTTCAAGGTAAAGGCCCTGTTCTTAACAGGCTTTTTGGAGCTCATCGATGGTAATAGATCCACTACCATCCTTGTCAAAGTACTGAAAGGCAGCAACAAGATCTCCCTCATGCTTCTCAATCAAGTTTCTTTCAATTTCCTCCCAAAATCCAGAACCTAAATTAGAAAGAAAAGGGTATAAATTCTCCAAATTGGAAACCAACATGTTGAAGGGTCATCTACTTAAGCAAAGAAAACCATGGATAGAAACAGAAACAGATAGCCGAATGTTATTCCCAATATCACCAAAATGATGTACGCATCAGCATATCAATGAAAATCCAAACATACCTCGGTTAGTTGGTCCTGCCAGGAAACTCAGGTCCATATCATATGCTATAAACAGAGTCCTTGAATCCTCAACTTTGACAAGAGGTGTTACAACGCAATTTATGTACAATTGAATCTTCAGAAGCTTCATCCTCACCAACCATAACATGCCATAATGGTAAGCTTGGCCCTGGATGATCCATCACCATAGCGGCTAAAACGATAGCAGAAGCTTAAATTGACTATACTGACACAATTGGACTGAGAAATTGATATTCACTAACATTATAAATAAATAAAAACATTACCACAGCTCATCTAATGACATTTGGCCCACTGGTACCTGGCAAGGGGTGCTCATTGCTGGGTAGCTGCTGCTGTTCCAACGGGGCTGAGATTCTATATTCAAATATGCAAAAAACTCGTAAATTTAACAAAATAAATATCAAAAATCAGAATTCTGTTAACTTCTATAAAAGCTAAAACCCTGTAAAATTTACTAAAGCATCAAGCAGTTATTGCGAGGAGGTGAGGTGAAGAGGTGATGCAAGGCGACCGAGGAGATGAAGGTGACATATATCAAGACTATTAAGATCACGGAAAGTTTGAAACTCCAGCCCTTACTATTTTTCTATTTTATAAAAACCCAAACTAAAAGTTTTAACTTTCAAATAGGATAGCACAATTTCACACCAAAAAAAAAAGATCAGAAACAACCATCAATCATTCTAATTGCTCTTACAACCAATAATGTTAAATAGTGAAGCAAACATAGTTTAATTTCAACCATCAATCATTCTAATTGCTCTTACATCCAAAAAGAGGGGGCATAAACAATACATTGCTCTTACATCCAAAAACTTGCACATGAATCAGTTAACTATCAATATTCAACATCCCTTCCATATTAAGCATCAACATATAAGATAAGAATACATTAATCATAATATTCCTAGTACAAAATCCAGCATTTGAATCTCCAAAACCAACATAACTTAGTCTAATTCAATGTAATTTTTCCCCAAACTAACAAAAAATGTGGAAATTTTTCACATTGAGCTATAATCCAACAAAATCTAGATTCAATGTGCGTATACTTTGTTGCATTTGAATATTCAATTCCAAGTTGCACTTGAATTTTTGCATAATTTGTTCAAAATTTCTGAAGTGAATCAACTGTTCAATTCAAATTTCCTGAATCAACTGAGAATTCTTGTTACACTTGAATATTGCATATTTTGATACTCCCTACATCCTACAATGTGCGCATACTGTACAATCCATAACCTGAGTTTTTTCCATATAAATTTCAAGACCGTGACTAAAGACAGCTTCCTATTTCGCTAACTAAGAGTAGTTAATGCGGTAGAATGTGGAATCATCCCTAATGAAGAGTATACTTGGTGTTGTCTGTGTAAACAAATAAATAATTATTCAATACACAACAATTTTTCCGTTGTAGTTGCATTTTTTTTCCGTATCCAATTAATCCTGATTATTCTATTAAGCCTGATTATCTTTCACCTCGTAATCCCTAATAAAAAGCTTAGACTAATATCTTTATTTGTTAAATTTCTTCAGACTTATTCAATCTTCTTCGGTTCATTTTTTGTTATTTTTCATAGCGCTGTGAAGAACAGGCTTCATTAGCAGACTTAGATTAGAATTGGTACTAAAGTTTAGTGCATGAGTAAGAGATTTTGAACCAAAATCATTTCGTTTCCTCGAAGCTTTTTAGGACAGTGATAAGATACCTTGCAATCTTGGAGCTCAACATCTAAACCCAATCTCTCTTCTTGCTCAAAAACATACATGTCATGGTATTTTTGAACTTCCTGGAAGAGTAAAAGATACAAATAGGTAAATAATATGTCATGTCATTCCAGTAAGGAAAAACTGAAACAAAACTTTACCTTCCTACTTTGTTCGAGATCCATCTCCAACTACTCTATCTTCTCATTCGTTCCCTGTTAAAAATAATGCAAGCCCCAAGAAACAATAAGCAGGGATATGAAGCTAATACAAATATTTCCCAATCACTAAGACCAATGACTAAATTATAACTAATCAATTTAGAGAGATTAATTCCTGAGTTGACCCTTGACAGCTTGATTAAAGAAATTAATGCAGAAATTAAAGAATCTCAACAATTTTCACACAAAAAATAACGAACAAAGCATAATCTCAAATTGGGAAGAAATAGAGAGAATAGAAACTTGGGTTTTTCGAGCTAAGAATACACTGTGAGCCTTGCTTGGGCTATCACAAGTCTCGATATGCAGCAAAAAAGAAAAATGCAGCACAATTACTATAGGGAATATTTCAAGCGTTATCCCTAGATTGAACCCCACTGTGATCATACACTAAAGTACGGTGGCGTCCAAAGGGAAAGAAGATAGAGCAAAAGAGTCGCCAACAAGTTCTAGGAACTTGTAAACCGTTCACGAGGTGAAAGTTACACCCCTTAACGGTCCAGGAGATCGTCAACTCCAATAGGTCTGGAACCATGACTGATAGTTCGGAAATGAAGGTACAAATCCAACCTAAAAGAGATTGAACCTGCTCTAATAATAGGCCTCTACTTTATTCTGATCTTATTCATGTGCGCTTTCTGACTAGTATGCAATCAATAGGATTAACCCTAAACATGTTTATCTATGTTGGTTGAATATTAATGCACAAATAAATCTATTATTGGCGATCACTTGAATTATAATCAAATTAACGCTAACAAGATTATTAATTATCTTATTAAGCGGATTACAAGTACCAATTCCCTTTAAACATGCATAAAAGGCGTGATCAAGCAATAACAATAAAAAAGCATCAATCAACAATAATCATAAAAATAATAATTATAATCATAATTAACATAATCATATTAACGCTAAAGTATAATAATAGCAAGATCTTAGGCATGATACTAACAAGATTAATAACAAACCCTAGCATGTCATTAAACAATAAAAATCAAAGCTTTAACCCTAACATGATACTAACATGAATATTAATATTAGGAAAGAACATAAGAAGCATCATACTTTTAATCATACTTGATATTAAAGTTACCCTAGACATGATACTAGGAAAATCAAATTACCCTAACATAACATTAGGAATCATAATAACAACCTAAGCATGATTTCTACATCATAATATCAATGTAAACAATTAAATAAAGCACTTACTTGGATGCCTCGTACCTCTTTCTAATAACAAAATACACGCGTTAGTAACTTCAAGGAAAATAATAAAATTTAAAATAATTAAACTAAATAATAAAAAGAGAGATTTGGGACCAAACCCTCATAAATTAAAACCTTTCACGTCTAGGGCGAAGACAACTTCGAATTATGCTAGGTGTTTCTAGGTCTTGTGAATGCGGAATTTTGTGTAAAGGGTGATTTAGAAAAAAGAGAGAAAGAAAGCTTTAGCTTCGAGAGAGAAGAGAATAGGGATGATTAGAGGTTGTTGATTGTAGATTAGAGATGGGAATTGATGATTGAAAACGGAGTTTTTAGGAGGCTATTTATAGAGAAAATCAGCCAAAAAGATAGAAAATCGAACCAGAGTTCTAACGTGAAAAAACGAAGTTAGCGCCAAACGCTGACATTAGCGCCAGGCGCTAATGGTGGCGTTAAGCGCTAATCAGTTTTTTAACGCGTTTTCTAAAATCAGATAAAATTTGACCGTACAGAGGGAAAAATCGTATTTTCCTTAAAAACACTCTTTTATTCTGATTAAAACTCTAAAAAGTCAACAAAAGTCAATTTATCAATGCTAATTGAATTAGGAATGAAAAGAACCTTCTAGAAGAATCTAGAAGACTAAAACCATTCCTAATTGCATTAGGAATGATAAATCCATATTAGGCATTCCTCTAGATCATTAGGCCGAATATAAGGCTCAAACCAGGCCCAGTTTAGTAATTTGGCCATAATTTCCTCAATATTCATCGGAATTGGGCTTATAATATATCGTTGAAAGCTCTTTTCAAACCCCATCCAACTACACTATTAATGGACCCATATCATGGACCAACCGAACTGGATTGATTGTTTTCTTAAAATAAGTTTTCAAAAACAGAGAGAAGAGAAAAAAAATTAAAACTATCCGCAACGCTAGACTTTCCACACTTTCACTTCATTCGATTATGATTCGACGTGAAAGGTACTCATCACCGGGTTTGGTTTTGGGGAGACACAAATGGGTGTCTACAATGACACACCACACAAACCCACAGAAATCAAATTATATCAATCTAAATGCTACCTGATAAATTATTCTGATCTGAAATCAAACAAATGAGGAAAGGCTACCTGAAGACCAGCTGTAGGAACAACAAGAAATGTGGGTCTTGCGATTTAGCGACCCATCGAAAACTGAAGGACAACCCGATCCCGATCAATAATTGGCTATAATATTACATGAGCCCAATCAATTAATCTGAAGAAAACAACAAAAATTAGAAAAATAATATGAATGAAGAATGAACAAGAAACAACTAAAAAATCAACATCAATTATTTTAAAATTAAGGATTTAAACAAATCAAAAAAGCAATTACCTTCTGATAGTTCAGATAGAGGGGTTTTAGTGTGTACTCATTGTCTTTTTTTATCAGAATAAATTGGAAATCATTGAGGAGGACAACTGCGGGGTTTCATAAATGCATATACATCAGTGTATAAATGTTCAAAAACCCTGAGGATCCCGCAAAACTTAGTTGGCTTCAGTTCATGGAGATCCTCAATATCACATCCTGTAAGATAGAGGTACAGGTTGAAGGCGCGAAGGATCGGAAAAAAGAGCAAAGAGTAATTAAGAGGGTGTTACTGATTGACTATTAGAATAGTGCATAACTTTATATTATAAAATTTTTACTTGAACTTGAAATCAAATAAAAACTGTTGAATGTAAATAAAGAACATTATCCTAAGTGAACATATTCAGCTCTTTTCAAAATTAAAGGTTAATAGATAAAATAAGAAAGCACTTCAGTTTTAAATAAACCCACATTCTTCATAAAACTTAAGTCCTTCTATATCTAAATTGCAGTCAAACTGTAAACTAACTCAATACAAGAAAGCACCATCAAATACTTTTGATATGGACACTAATTGTAGCAAGTAAGAAGTAATAAAAATAGTGGTCGTTCCACACATAGAAGCTATCTGACTAAAAATAATACCCCTTCCAATGTCACATTCTTCAACTAACATCCTAGATTTGATAATCACGGCTTCAAAAGAAGCAATCTTTTTCCTCCCACTCTTCCAAAGAATCAATGTCTGCCATTGACATAAATGACAGGCAGCCACCAAAACTTGAGATGCAGAGCAGTGATATGTCTATTTTATATAGTGTTTTACCCCCGTCCCTTGGTCGTTATTAGTAGTGTTTTTGGCTCTTTCGGGCCACTTTTATTACTAATTTGTGTGTTCTAGTGTTTTCGTAGTTTTAGTTGTATTTTACAAGAAATTGCACTCTTGGAACATTTTCCCGGACTTTATGGATTAACTACAGAAGCTAGAAGGACACGACCACTTTTGGAGCCCAGGATTGGTGAGAGCCGGTGATTAAGGGCTCGGTAATTGGGATCCCGAGGCATTTGGACCAAGTATTCGAGACCCGAGAGGAAATCCGAATTGGGCCGAGAAATCTAGCCCAATCGAAGTCTAAGCCTCAAGAGGAGTAAAGACCCGATCGGGCAACCTCTAGCCCGATCGGGCGCGACAAGATTAGTAAGCTGAGCGTGCTGAGGCGCGCCCGATTGTGCGAGCTGCTAGCACAATCGGGCGATGCTGCTTGGGAAGAACGCGAAGAAAAAGGCGCGCCCGATCGGGCGCGTGTTTTTGGAAGACCTGATGATGTTTAGTTTTAATTCTTGTTTTAGAAAACGTTTAAATAGGATTTTGTACGGAATTATTAGAGGATCTTCTTTCTTAGACTTTCTCTCTCTACTTAGGATCTTTTCTCTCTCTTAACTCTTCTCTCAACTCTTGTTCTTGATTATTTCCATTAATACAGATTAGTTTGGTAACGATTTCTCTTCTCTTAATCTTATTTATTTCCCTTTATCATGACTTATTTTATTGCTTTGATTAGTTTAATTTCTACTATGTGTGAGTAGTTTTATTTCTAGGGTTTATGGGGATCCATAAATAATATGAAGGGGTAATTTATTGTTGTTAATTATCTATGCTAGATTAATTTCCTATATTGATTTAATGCTCTGTGACTAGATTTGCGCAGATCTTTTATGCATGAGTTTAACAATATTGATTCGAGATTCGACAGATGAGAATTAATGTTTAAGTCTAGTTTCAATAGGCAGATTAATTTATAAATGGTTAAGTCGAGATTCGAGAGATGAGATTTAATGCCGGTAAATTAATTATGTGATTGTAATACGTAGCGAAAGCCCTTTACAATCTGGTTAATTGATGTATTGATGATTGACTAGTATTGATTATTGGTATAGCATGATAATTTCTTATTGAATTGTTTTAACGTTTTACAATTGCGGCTTGTAAAAGTATAGCAATATTAATTTGATGAATCTAGCAGATGTTAATTTGATATTAAAGGTTATTTTCAATAAGAACTTAGATCTAGTAAATTGCGAGAGCCTGTTAGATCTATGTTGATTAATAAATTGCGAGAGCCTGTTAATCATGTTATTTATGCAATGTCAATGATTGATTACTATGTTTTAACCTGGAGTATTATTTATTGGTGAACCTATGTCCTAGATCCTTTTATATATTGTTTTCTCCCTATTCCTATTCTTTGTAGTTTAGTTTCATACTCAAATATAAATATTGGTTACTTAGATAATTTAGATTATAATAATTAATTAGGAGTAAAAAGACTTGTTTCCCTGTGGATTCGACCCTACTTCCCTATCTACGTTAGTTAGAGGATTTAGGAATTAATTTTGATTAGGGGATACGACTTTACCCTGTCAAAATTTGGCGCCGTTGCCGGGGAAACGGTTTTATTTTTATTTCTGATTGTTTTTGTAGTCTAGATTATTTCCCTTTTGTCTCAGAGAGCGTTAGTTCTCTGAGACAAATCTCATATTTGCTTCTAGTTTTTGTTTATGCCCAGGTGTTCCAGATCAAGTTACATCCCATTCGATCCTGAGATCGAACGTTCCTTCCATAGACAGGAAAATCTCTACAAGCAAATCCTGGCGGATTCGGGTGATAATAACAATAATCACCGAAATCCTCCAACTGGTTCTAGCGATTCAGAGACATCATCAGACGCAGAATCAGAG